CCAGGTTCCCAAAGGCACTGTTTCCCAAAGGCACTGTACCATTTTACATTCACATCAGCAATATATTGGGATTATCATTTCTTTTTTTCTCATCAACACTTGTTATGATCTGTCTTGATTATAGCCATTCTAATGGATGTAAAGTGACATCTCCTTGTGGCTTTGTGTTTCCCTAATGACTAATGATTAAGAGGCATCTTTTCATGTGCTTCTTAGCTATTTGTATAACTTCTTTGGAGAAGTGTCTGTTCAAATCTTTTGCCCACTTTTCAGTTATGTTGTCTTTTTACTGTTGAGTTGTGTTACTTATACATCTGGGATACCAGTCCCTTATCAGATCTGTGGTTTGCAAGTTTCAATTCCCGTTCTCAGGGATGTCTTTTCATTTTCTTGATCATCTCATTCTTAGTTTTGATGAAGTCCAGTTTATCTATTTTTGTTGTTGTCATTTGTGTCACATTAAGAAGACTTTGCTTAACTCAAGGTCGTGAAGGTTTACTTCCAAGAATTTTATAGTCTTAGCTCATACATTTAGGTCTATGATCCATTTTTGACTTATTTTTGTGGGTGATGTGAGATAGGGATCCAAGTTCATTATTTTGCTTGGGGATATCTAGTTGTCCCCAACTTATCGGACTTATTGAAAAGACTCATCTTTTCCCCATCGAATTATCTTGGCACCCTTGTTGAAAATCAATCGGCCATAAATAATGTGAGGCTTTACTTCTGGACACTGAATTCTGTTCCACCGATATGTATTTCTATCCTTATGACAGAACCACACTGTCTTGATTACTGTAACTTTGCAGTAAGTTTTGAAATTAGAAATTGTGAGTCCTTCAACTTTGTTTTACTTTTTCAAGATGGTTTGACTGGTCTGGATGCCTTGCATTTTCATGTAAATTTTAGGATGAGCTTGTCTATTTTTTTAATAGATGAGAATGATGTTGATCAATTTGAAGACTATCATCACCTTAACAATATTAAGTCTTCCAAACGATGAAGGAATGTCTTTTCCATGAGATATCTTTCCCATTTCATGAGATGACTTTGTCGAGGTCTTCTTCAGTTTCTTTCAATGGTGTTATTTAGGTTTTGGTATCTTGCACTACTTTTATTAAAATTATTCCCAAGCGTTTAATTCTTTTTGGTGATATTGTAAATGAAATTGTTTTCTTAACCTTATTTTCAGATTAATCATTGCTAGTATATAGAAACAGAGTTGGGTTTTTTTATTTTTTATTTATTTTTTAATTTTTTTTTAAATGTTTTATTTATTTCTAGGAGAGAGAGAGAGAGACAGCGTGAGCAGGGGAGGGTCAGAGAGAGAGGGAATCACAGACTGAAACAGGCTCCAGGCTCTGAGCTGGCAGTCAGCACAGAGCCCGACGCGGGGCTCGAACCCACGAACTGCGAGATCACGACCTAAGCGAAAGTCGGACGCTCAACCGACTAAGCCACCCAGGCGCCCCTATTTTTTATTTATTAAAAAAATTTATAGTTTATTTATTTTTGAGACAGAGAGACAGAGCACGAGCAGGGGATGGGTAGAGAGAGAGGGAGACACAGAATCTGAAACAGGCTCCAGGCTCTGAGCTGCCAGCACAGAAACGGATGCCGGGCTCAAACCCAGGAACTTCGAGATCATGACCTGAGCTGAAGTCGGATGCTTAACCGACTGAGCCACTTGAGCCACCCGAGCCACCCAGGCGCCCCTAGAGTTAGTTTTTTAATGTTTGTTTATTTTTGAGATAGAGAGTGGGGGAGGGACAGAGAGAGAGGGAAACAGAATCTGAACTGGGCTCCACACTGACAGCAGGGAGCCTGATACAGGGCTTGAACTCTTGAACCACAAGATCATGATCTGAGATCAGATTCTAAACCGACTCAGCCACCCAGGCGCCCAAAAATAGTTAGTTTAAAAAAATTTTTTCTTTAATGTTAAAGACATAATGTTTTAATGTCTCTCATTTTTGAGAGACAGAGCATGAGCAGGGGAGACACAGAGAGAGGGAGACACAGAATCCGAAGCAGGCTCCAGGCTCTGAGCTGTCAGCACAGAGCCCAACATGGGGCACGAACTCACAAACGGTGAGATCATGACCTGAGCCAAAGTCAGACGCTTAACCGACTGAGCCCCCCAGGTGCCCCAAAATCCAGTTACTTTTTATACATCCTTATTCTTTTTGACAACAGCTTGGTACTCCATTACTGTATTATCATTTATTTTCCCAGTCCCCTAATGATGGATACCTAGGTTATTTCCAGTCTTCCTAGTAAAAGTGGCGCAGTAATAACTTTCCTTGTACATACCCACAAAGTCTCAGGTATTCTGATCTTTTCTCTGAATATTTATAATTGTCAGTTGCCACCAATTTGGCCCACGCCCACCATCACATTATCCTTGGGTGACTGCCTCAGTCTGTTCACTGGGTTCCCTGCTTCCTCATGCCTCTCCAATCCATTCTTCACCCAGCAGAGAGATCCTATTAAAATACAAGCCAGTGTGGCTTACTCCTCTGCTCAAAACCCTCCAATGCCTTTCATCTTGTGTCGATTAAAGTTTCATATCAACACCGAGTCTTCACAGCCTCACAATCTGGCTTCGTTACCTTTCCAACATCATCTCCATCACTCTCTCCCCTATCCCTGCTCTGATCCATCTACACTGGCCTCCTTTATTTCTTAAACACATCAAGGGTGGATGCACCTCAGGACCTTTGCCATTGTTTCTTCTGCTTGGAACACACGGCCTCTAGATTGTCACGTGACTCACTCCCCCAATCCAGCAAATCTCTGCTATATGTTCTCTCCTCCTAGAGGTCTTCTCTGACCACTCTGTCTCAAGTCACATCGCCCGCTCTTCCCTTGCAATCCTTAATCGTCCTCTCACATAAGATGTTAACTGATTTTCACAATGACTGACTGAGATAAGAATTTTGGCAGTGGCCCGTCTGCAAGCATCCATCATTCTTGGCAAAGCAAGTCTTTACAAAATTCGTACACAAGTCCACGGGAGGTATACTAGCGCAAAGTGGTATACAATCTAGGTGTCCATGACTAGGGGAATATAAACCAACCAGAGGTTGTAGACAATGACCTTTAGCAATGTGGCTACTAAATATTAGTAACAGTGATGGGGTGGGGTGGGGGCACAAAATTGAGTATCATTCAAGTAAATTAAACACAGAATTAAATGTATTTTTAAAACTCACATATGTGGGGGCGCCTGGGTGGCTTAGTCGGTTAAGCATCCGACTTTCGCTTAGGTCATGATCTCGTGGTTCGTGGGTTCGAGCCCCGCGTCGGGCTCTGTGCTGACTGCCAGCTCAGAGCCTGGAGCCTGTTTCAGTCTGTGACTCCCTCTCTCTCTGACCCTCCCCTGCTCACGCTGTCTCTCTCTCTCTCCTAGAAATAAAAAACAAAAAACAAAACTCACATAGGTGTATTTAAGCACATATACCAAATACGCAAGAGCAGGGTCATTATCTTTTAACTCATGGTTCCACCCCTGCTACACACACACACACACACACACACACACACACACAACATATGTTTGGTCATGTTTGGAGACATTTTTGGTTGTCACAATTGGGGAAGGAGGTTGATACCAGCATCTAGTGGGTGGAGTCCAGGAATGCTGTTCTTCATCCTACCATTCCCAGGATAGGCCCCCCCCCCCAAAGAATTTTGCAGCCCAAATGTCGATTGTACTGAATTTGAGAAGCCTTGTGTAGCCCGGCACAGCATTGCTGAATGAATGAATGCATGCATGCATGCATGCATGCATGCATGAAGAGATAATGGTGGCCGGAACTGGCTGGTAGTAGTGGGAACCCAGAAACGCACTAGGATTCTTACACATCTTGGAAGTGTGCGTGGCAGAATTTAGTGTGACAGTGCCTCTCCTTTCCAGGAACAGTTGTGCTCTGCCCTTGCCTGGTCCTGCGCACAAGCGTGGGGGACCTCCAGTTGCCCTCCAAGCCCGGCATCCCGCCCTGCCCCCTCAATTTTCAAAGTCTTCGGAGTTGCCGGAAGCCGGCCAAGAATGAGCCAGGGCGGTGCCTGCGGGTGAGAAATTTTGCATGACGTTTGAATAGCGCGGGGCTTGCGGGGCGAAACCGCGGACCACAGAAGTACCGGGAAGGCTTGGGACCCGGCGTGGGGGAGGGGTCTGGGCTGGAGAGAGTGGACCGGAATGGTAGCGAACCCGATCAGAATGCTTGGGGCGGGAGGAGGGGGATTAGAATCCTGTGAGAGTGCGGAAGATAGGGGTCTGGAGCCTTCTGGACCGACTTGGAATCCTTTGAGGAGGGATTAAAATCTTTGGAGGTTCGGATTGGAATCTTTGGATGGGTCGGATTGGAATCCTGGGGCGCGTGGATTAAAATCTTTTGGAAACAAGATTGGGATTACCCAGGAGCGGGATTAGAATCCCTGGGGTTAGGGCTCCAAATCTGGGGGGCTGGCTCAGAATCCTTTGAAGAGAAGGGTTAGGATCCTTCGGTTAGTTTGATTAAAATCCTTAGGGACGGATTAGAAACCTCTGGTGGGCGACGTTACAAATTATTCAAATGTGAAATTCAAAATCCGTTGGGGCGGAATTAGGATTTGGGGAGGAAGAGAGCGCGTTGCGGTTCTTGAGAACAGATTAGGATTCCTGGGGTGGGGGTAAATCCCTTTGGGGACCGCGTTAGGGTTTGGGGAGGCGGGGATTATAATGCATTAGGGGAGGTGTTAGGGTATTTGGAGGAGGGGTTGGGGTTAGGATCTTTATGGGACTGGCTAAAATTCTTTTGGGCCGCTTTATTATCCTTCAGGGAGAGGGTTAGGATCCTTAGGGGCAGGCGTAGAAGCCTCGGGCGCGCGGTGGAATTAGGATGCTGGCAGGGAGGCCTGGGATTATTAGAAGTCCCTGCGGTGCGGTGAGAATATTCGGGGGCGGGGTTAGGGCAATTGGGGGCGGGGTTAGCATCGCCCAGGGCGCGGCTAAGGAGCCCAGAGGGCCGGTGGGTGCCACGGAGTCGCTGGTCCCAGCCGGGGCGCACCGCTGGGTCCTAGAGGCGAGACGAGCGGGGGAGGACGCGGGCAGTTCTGCCCCAGGGGAGCCGAGAAGCCACGCGGCGCCCGCCGAGGCCCCTCAGAGCGCCCTGCTTGCCTCTCGAACGTCAGCCCGTCTCCCTTAGGGCGCGGGCGCCCCGGGCCGCCGGGGGCCGCCAAGCTGGGGGGGCGCCCCAGCTGCGAGGATCCGGGCTGCCCGCAGGACGAGGAGCGGGCGCCCAGGTGAGTGCGGGCGGCGGACCGGGGAAGCCGAGGGACCTGAGGGTGAGCGCGGCCTGCGGAGGGGGCGCGGGTGGGGAAGGCTGGGGGTGACGAGGGTAGAAGGGTGCGCAGGGCGGGCTGGGGTGCGCCGCGGGAAGATGCCGTCGGGGCAGCGGCGGACGGGCCTGGGATGAGGGGCCCACGGAGCCGGGAGGCGGGCAGGTAAGGGGCGGGATTGCCCTGCGAACCTGGAAAAGCTCGAGGAGAGGGGAGCTCTGGCCGCCGAGTGACTTTGCTCCAGCCTCCACTTTTCTGGGCCGTCCAGGTTCCCCTTCTGCAAAAGAAAAGAAAAACGAGAAGGAAGGGATGGGGCTTCACGGAGACCGGGAGGGGAAGGCCCTTACGGTTCGTGGTGGGGGTGGGGTGACGGGTCACGGAGGGTTGGCAGCGCATCGGCGACCGTCGTGGGGAAGGGGACAGCTGGCCGTAGGCGTGACGTGGGAACCACACCTGGGCGGAGCTGCAGCTGGGTCCGCTCGCTCTGCTCCCTCCTCCTCCCGCGCTGCACCCCCATCCCCAGCAGATCAAGGTCAAACCTCAAAACCTCCTGGACAGATCACAGGGTGTCTGCCGGTTACTTTCCTCCTTGTGAGACCTTGGGCAAGTCACTCTCATTCTCCGAATTCCAGTTTCCTCATCTGTTAGGCGGGGCTGTTGTTCTTTTTCAAGACTACAGGGAGCTAGAGTATGACAGAGTCATGTGTGTGAGGGACAATTCAGTGTAGTGTCAAGGAAGGGGGTTTCCGGGAGCAAGTTATCTTTTGACTTTGACCAAGGGATTTTGCCTTCCTGTGCCTCCGTTTTTACACCTGTAGGCTAGGGATAATAATGACCGTGGCTTGGGTTGTTTTGAAGGTTTGATTAAGTTACTGAAGGAAAGCTCTTAGGATGCTACCTGACGGCTATACGTGCTTAATACATGTTAACTATTGTCATAGCTCTATTATGGTCTAGCCCAGTGCTTCGCAAACTTCAGCAGTACACCAGAATCACCTGGAAGGTTTGTTAAAATACAGATTTCTGGGACCTGACCCCAGTATTTCTGATTCAGTAGGTATGGCCTAGGACTCTGAGAATTTACATACCGGGGTAATGTCGCTGCTGGTCCAGGGAATGGACCAGCTTTGAAAGCCACTACTGTAGCCTTTTGCCAGTACAGAGAAAGGCCTCAATAGATATTGGTTCCTTGGGGCGCCTGGGTGGCTTAGTCGGTTAAGTGTCCGGCTTTCGCTTAGGTCATGATCTCGCGGTTCGTGGGTTCGGGCCCCGCGTCGGGCTCTGTGCTGACTGCCAGCTCAGAGCCTGGAGCCTGTTTCAGTCTGTGACTCCCTCTCTCTCTGACTCTCCCCTGCTCACGCTCGCGCTCTCTCTCTCTCTCCTAGAAATAAATAAAAACCTTAAAAAAAAAAAGATATTGGTTCCTTTATCCCAATGGATTTCTCTTCACTATCTTTTTTTTTTTTTTAAGGACAGGAGGAGGGAAGGTTAAAATAAAGTGAAGACCTTATACTAATGAACCCCATGTTAGCATTTTGTCATGTTAGCTTCTGATTTTTTTAAAATAAAGTTATTACAAGTAATGATAAAATTGAAGCCTCTCTGCCTTATATCCCTCTCAGTCCTGTTTCCTCCCTCCCCAGAGGCAATCATTGTCATGAAATATAACATAATATATATTATATAATATACTTTTATATGTAATATAAACATATAACTTATATTTCATAAATTTATTTCATAAATCTATGAACGTATTACACAGATATGGATGCACAAATTATACATAGAATTGTTTTCTGTGTATTAAAGATGTCCAGAAATGCTCCCCAACTGTGAGATTCTTTGGCAGTATCCTTTTTCCTTGCCTTCTCATCATTAAGGGGTCAGAGTCTAGCCAGGGTGAGAAACGGGGGCCTATTTCATTCGTTCTAAGTGGAGCAACCCAGCAGGTGACTGACCACCTACCTGATTGCTCATTCCCCTGCTGCTGAACAATTAGATGTGGGATGAGGGGTTCATTACAACAAACCATTCTGCTGGGCTGTCCCGGATGAACGGCTTTGGAGGCGTGGGGTGCAGGTGTTTCTTGGGGAAAACACCAAGAGGCTGGATTGCCCTTCACAGGGGGCACCTGTGGCCCCCTCCTCTGGTGTGCAAGGAGGACTGAAGCCTGGAAGGGTCGCCCAAGGAGTGTGGGTCAGATACGGTGGAAGAGCCTGGCTCTGTTGACTTCCCAGGGCCGCTCCTGTTCACTGCAAGAGAGGAAAGATCTTCATCTCCCTGACACTTGGTAGAAAATCAAACAATGGAATCATGGCTCCTTTAAAGAAAAAAGGTTTTGGATAACAAATAGTTTATTTTTGCGGAGTCTTCTTTTCTGTGCCCTTTTTATTTAACATATCAGGAAACTGCTACATATACAATTTTCATCCCACTGATTTGCTTAGCATTAACTTGTAAACATTTTCCTATGTCATTCAAATAGCCTTGGATTTTTTTGTCATTTTATTTTTCTCAGTTTACTTATTTATTTACTTGTTGAAGTCATTTCTGTACCCAGCATGGGGCTCAAACTCATGACCCCGAGGTCAAGAGCCACATGCTCCTCTGACTGAGCCGGCCAAGCCCTCCAAAATATCCTTGGAATTTTAATGGCCACATATCATTACTCTTTGTTTGCACTATAGTTTGTTCAACTATCCTAGGAAAGCACTGTTAGGTAGTTAGCTGTTTTTTTAATGTTTATTTTTGAGAGACAGATACAACATGAGCCGGGGAGGGGCAGAGAGAGGGGCAGACACTGAATCCAAAGCAGTCTCCAGGCTCTGAGCTGTCAGCACAGTGCTGGATGTGGGGCTCGAACCCATGAACTGCAAGATCATGACCTGAGCCGAAGTGGGACATTTAACCAACTGAGCCACCCAGGCACCTCTGTAATTTTTTAAAACATTTGTTTTCAAGAGAGAGCAAACAAGTGGGGGAGGGACAGAGAGAAAGGGAGACAGAGCATCTGAAGAGGGCTCCATGTTGATAGCACAGAGCCCAGTGTGGGGCTTGAACCCACCAACCGTGAGATCATGACCTGAGCCGAAGTGGGATGCTTAACCTGAGACACCCAGGCGCCCTGCAGTTTGTAATTTTAAAATTTTGAGTTGAAATTCACAAAGCATTACACAATTAACCATTTTATTTTATTTTATTTTTTTAAAATGTTTTATTTATTTCTAGGAGAGAGAGACAGTGTGAGCAGGGGAGGGTTAGAGAGAGAGGGAGTCACAGACTGAAACAGGCTCCAGGCTCTGAGCTGGCAGTCAGCACAGAGCCCGACGCGGGGCTCGAACCCACGAACCGCGAGATCATGACCTAAGCGAAAGTCGGACACTTAACCGACTAAGCCACCCAGGCGCCCCAACAATTAACCATTTTAAAACTAACATTTTGGTGGCATTTAGTCCATCGACAGTGTTGTGCAACCACCACCTCTATATAGTCCCCAAATATCTTCATCTCCCCAAAAGGAAGCATGGAACCCATTAAGGCAGTCAGGCCCATTCCTCCCCTCCCCGGTCCTTGGCCACCACCAGCCTGCTTTCTGTATTTTTGGATTAATTTATTCTGGTGTCTTCCACCTAAGATAATGTTTTCAAGGTTCACTGACGTTGTGCATGTATTGGTATTTCGCTTCTCTTTATAGCTGAATAATATTTCATTGTATGTATATACTGTGATTTGCGTATCCATTCATCTGTAGATGAAACTTTGGGTTGTTTCCACCTTTTGACTATTGTGAATAGTGCCGCTGTGAACATGCACCTACATGTATTTGTTTGAGCTCCTGTTTTCGATTTCTTGGGTATATACCTAGGAGTGGAATTGCTTAGTCCTATGGTAATCCCATGTTTAACATTTTGAGGAATTGGCCAGACTGTTTTCCACCATTTTACGTTCCTATCGGCCATGTAGAAGCGTTCCAGTTTCCCCACATCCTTGCCGACATTTGCTATTTTCCTTTTTTAAAAACTCTTTTATTACATGTATTTATTTTTGAGAGACAGAGTGTGAGTGGGGGAGGGGCAGAGAGAGAAGGAGACCCAGAATCCGAAGCAGGCTCCAGGCTCCGAGCTGTCAGCACAGAGCTTGAAGCGGGGATTGAACTCATGAACTGTGAGATCATGACCTGAGCCGAAGTCGGACACTTAACTGACTGAGCCACCTAGGTGCCCCACTATTTCCCTTTTTAAAAGATTACTGTTATTATAGCCACCCTAGGGGATGTGGGAAGCATGAATCTTAATCTCATCTCAGCCAGACTTTCTTGCTGGGGGGCCCTTGCCCCTGAGAGTGAGGAGAAAATTGCCTGTATTCAAGGGACTGCCAGGCCTTGCACTTTAAACTCTTCTAGAAAGTAAGGGCTTCTAAACCACTCTACTGCTAACACATACTAGGTGCCTGGCACATGGTAGGGCCTCAAAAACATTGAATGTAGGAATGTTGAACAACCTCTCCTTTCTCTTGCCTGAGATATTTCAGCACGTAGTTGGTCCCACAGTGATTCTTTTTAATTAGTTACCAACTTTTTTTTTTAATGTTTTTTTTTAAAATATTTTTTTATTTATTTCTAGGAGAGAGAGAGAGACAGCGTGAGCAGGGGAGGGTCAGAGAGAGAGGGAGTCACAGGCTGAAACAGGCTCCAGGCTCTGAACTGGCAGTCAGCACAGAGCCCGACACAGGGCTCGAACCCACAAACGGCGAGATCATGGCCTAAGCGAAAGTCGGACGCTTAACCGACTAAGCCACCCAGGCGCCCCCTTTTTTTTTAAATGTTTACTTATGAGGTGGGGGGCAGAGAAAGAAGGAGTCACCGAATCCGAAGCAGGCTCCAGGCTCCGAGCTGTCAGCACAGAGCCTGAAGCGGGGATCGAACTCACCAACCATGAGATCGTGACCTGAGCCAAAGTCCG